ACACCTTGAATAATTCATTCTAGGAAGGGATTATTCTTAGTTTAAATAATACCTTTTAATTATAAAAATATTAAAGTAGCTCAATTAGTTAAAGCATATAGCTATTAACTATAAGATCATAAGTTTGATCCTTTCTTCTAGTGTTTTCTGAGTTTTTAAGGATTATTCATAACATTTTCTAGTAAAAAATGCATTGAATAATTTCTTCATAAAAATTTAATGTGATTATTCAAGGTGTCAGTAAAAAATATCTTAAATAATCTCCTCCATGAGAAAATTATTCCTAGTTTAAATAATAGCTTTTAATTATAAAAATATTAGAGTAGCTCAATCAGTTAGAGCATACAGCTGTTAACCATAAGGTTACAAGTTTAATTTTTTTCTCTAGCTTTTTTTAAGTTTTTTAAGGATTATTCAAGGCGTTTTTTATTTTGTCCTATAAAAGGTGCCTCATAAGTAAAAGACAGTGTGAACCCTTTTATCTCATAACCAACTCTAGTATATAGTCAACATAAGATTCATGACTCCTTTCTAGGACCATGACATCCTTCTTCATTCCAATGAAAGCTCACCATCCTCGGTGGTACATCATTAGTACTTTTAAAGCTAGTTTTGATATCACTTATCATGGGTCGAGACTCAAGCTCCATGCTCGTACAGCTTCAGGACTCAAGCATGAACTCATCCGATATCCTAGATCAGTCTAACTATCACCTTTACCCAGAATAACCTTCTATCCATGGTTGACCATATATCCCTTAAACTAGCTTTCTTTCTCTTTCCACGGCCTTGCTCTTGGGCCTCTTGTTGTTAGCTAGCAACATCATTATGGAATGTCATTTTCGTGAATGCCTTAAGAGTAATCTGAACACCATCAAACAAAACCTGCACAAAACTTACTCTAATAATAATAAAACCTTTTTATTGTTTTCTTATTTTCTTAGCTTGTGTATTTTGCCTTTCCCATTGGTTTAGTGCCAGCATGCGTGGTTCATAAGTTGAACTTAGGTTAAGGAGTTCAATCCTAATCTAAAGCCATACAAATTTTGGTTTAAAGTTCACACCTATGACAGTTGGTATTATAGTAGGTTTGAAGCTGGTTCAGAGTCTACAGAAGCTTGTCTAAAGGAGCTGATCAATGTCGAGTGCTGTTGGAACTAGTGTTAAGCTTAAAAGAAGTTGCAAACATGTTGGTGAGGGCATTCGATTGTGTGGTACATGCATTTTAGGATGTTTCTATGTTCATGTACTGGTGAAACGCTTCTTAGTGCATAAGGTGTTGGCGTGCAAGAGTGTAGATCATTTGTTTGACCAATTGTTGTAGTTATATTATAGGTGTGTTGGGCATGCTATGCAGAGGTACTGACTGGTACCCAACAAAGTGTTGGTCATATGTTGTGTTTGGCAAAATCTTGATTCATTGGAGTGCTAGTCTGAAAGTTAAGGTAAATTTCTTATATTGCATTCATAAATGTTTAGTTTGATCATTGTGCGTTGCTAATGAAAATGCTCTTTTATAGTGGCATCATAGCGATGACAATGCCAAGCATGGTAAGAAAGCAATCACTATATGGGACTAGTTCATAGAAGAACTTAAGTGGCAGTTTAAGCCAGAGTATATGGAAGAAAAAGCTCAAGGAAAGTTTCACAAGCTTACTCAAAAAAGGAGAATTTGAGATTATTGCAGGGATTTCTCAAAGCTATTGCCATTGGCCCTAAGCATGAGCTAGGGGAAGGCTCTGTTTTACTTTTTGGATAGATTGAAACTATAGGTAAAGTCTGAATTATAACGACAAGGCATGCGATAACTAAGTTGGGCCATTGTAGTTGCAGAATCATTGATAGAGTTTAAGAGCACTGTCTCCATGGTCAAGCCACAAAGGTAATAGTGAGAAAGACACAGATAGAAGTTTTTCATCTGATGAAAGGGCTAGTAACAAGCTTAAACTTAGCAAGGCCTAGATCGATAAAGCTACTTCAAACAAGGGTAGGGAGTGAAAGCCCTTGAGTTGCTATTTATGTGGCAGTCCACATAGGGCTAAAGAGTGCCCTATGCATACGAGGCTTGTATCCATCAAACAGGCAGAGAAATTATCCAAAAGAGAGAATTGTAATAGCAAGGATGGACAGCTTGAGGTGATGCGACTGGATGCTATTTTATACTGCAAAGGGGTTAAAACCTCTCAAGGAGTTGGCGAGGATAAACCAGTGGCAACCGAGTGCCACAGCATAAGTCTTAAAGTGCAATCAAATTTCTCACAAGGGAATGTGCTATGGGCAACTCAGAAGAAGCACATAAAGCGTCGACGACGTGGAAGAAAAGGATCATTACAGCAAAGTGTTAAGAAATTTATAATCAAGAACAACAAAAGCTAGTATAGTACATATTTGGGTATGGGACCAAAACGTTAAAAAACTAGTTCACCAGGCAGGAGTTAGAACTGGCATGCAAGGCAGGTGCATCATCCCCTTAGCAATAAGGGCGTTACAAAAATGACTATGAGAGATTTTCACATTTCGCAAGCTAGTCCAAGCTTAGGAGTTTTTTCCAAGTCGGGTGACAGTTTAAGTTCTAACAAGATATAGTCTAACAACCAAAGGGACCGAGCCCTAAGGTGCACTGAAGGTTGAGGTTGATGGAAACTAGCCTAAAACAATGGTGTAGGCAATGATCAAGACTCCAATAGCTCAGGCAGTGTGTTTAAGTTCAGCATAGTTTAGCTAAGCCTAAGTGTGAACAGTGTGGGTGCATAGGCAAACACAGACGTGCACACTAGAGGTCTAGGTTATGGGAAACCAGCCCATAACATTGGTGCAGGTAGTGATCAAAACTCTAGATGCTTAAAGAAAGTGTTTAAGTTCAACAAGATTTGGCCAGGCCCAGGGATAAGAGCTAGTGCGCAATACGCAGGCACTGGTGCACAATGCATAGGCACTTAGTCAAGCCTGGGTGGGAGCACTGATGACCGAGGTGCGGACACAAAGTTAAGCCCAGATGCGAGCATACCTGAACACAGACCTGAGCTAATCAGAGCTGGCAACACTGAGTTGAACCCAAGTGTGGGCACGGGTACAAGCCTAGGCGAGAACGATGCTGAGCACGAGTCTGAAACCAACCAAGATAGATTCCCACTCAGATTTGATCAAAGATGCTAGAAATATGTTGTGTATCATATCCCATATAATTAATGATTGTATCATATCTCCTAAAATTATAGGATTTAAACTAATGTGATCCCTAGAGTTTAGGCATGTAAATCAACATTGATTGTAAGGGGGACTCAACTATAAATAAAAAGTCTTTCACCCTCATGTATAGACACCACAACTTAAGTAATACAATATACTTCCTCTGGCCTTAAACTTGTTGTTGTTCTTTAGTTAGCCTTTCTTCAGGCACTTGCTATGACCTTTTGTTTTGCAGCGTATTAGGTGGCTAAGCCCCACAGTCCAGTGTGTCCATGCATCATTTCTTGTGTTAGGCTAATCTAAGATGCGAAAGAGTCTATCCCCGTGTCCTGGAGCCACGCATAAAAATTAAATATGGTTATTCAATGTATTTTTAATAGAAAACACCTTGAGATTAATCTTAGTTTAAATAATAGCTTTTAATTATAAAAACATTAGAGTAGCTTAATTGGTTAGAGCATACAATTGTTAACCATAAGGTCGTAATTCAATTCCTCTTTCTTATGTTTGTTGAGTTTTTCAAGAGATTATTCAAGGTATTTTCTAGCCAAAAACGCCTTGAATAATTCTCTCATAAAAATTGAATGAGGTTATCCAAAGCGTTTTTGGCCCCCATTCAATTTTTGTAAGGGATTTATAAAAAATTAAATAGGATTATTTAAGGCTTTGTTAAAAATATCTTGAATAATCCATTCTCAAACACCCTTAATTTTTTTCCCAGATAAAAGCCAATAGTTTTTTTTTAGCTTATATTGACGGTTACATTAATAACCGTCAGTATATAACATATTTATACTGATGGATAGTCATATACCATAAAAAAATTTTATTTATACCGACGATTAAATAAAATCTTGGTATAAGTATAATATATTCTTACGGTATTAAAAATTCGTCAGTTAAAGTCTCTTTTATTAATATAATTTGATCATCAGTATAATCAAACGTCAGTATATAAAAATTTTTTTGTAGTGGTTAGAGCACCTTAATGATCTGTCTCTAGATTTTTAATATTAAGTAGGTGACATGCAATTAATTCTTAACATAATAAGCATGAAAACGTTCAAACATAATTGTTGTTAGGAATAAAAACCCAAATTTCAAAAGATTTGTTGAAAAATTTTTAAGATATCTAATACTCACTAAAATTCTACATAATAATCAAGTTACTTGGTAAATAAATTAATTATTTTATAAATAAAGATGAATGACCTTCCTAGAGTGTAATATGAAAAAAAATCGAAAGTAGAGTTGTAGAATTTTTACAAGATTAGATGTATAAACACTTCATTGAACTAAGGAAGAGTGTTTTTGAGTCTTATATAATTTGTGATTGGTTTGACTTGGTTTTGAGATTGTTGAAACTGAGCCAAGTGCTCAAAGATTTGTTTGGATTGACAATATTGTTGTATTTGTGATTGGAATTGCTTTGAGTTGAGCGTTTAAGTGTTCGAATGTTGATATGGCTGTAATCTAACGTTTTCATTCATGAATATTGATAGGTTGAATGCCAAATCAATTAATTTCTTTCTTCTTTTTTTTTTGCGTACAATTTTGTCTTCCTCTATTGTATGATGCATAATGTCACAGCCATATATGTGAACATTATTCGTTTTGTTTGAATGTAAACATTTCTTGGCAATAGATTGAATCCACATGGAGTAAATGGGCCCCCAGACGACATCAGTTAGCTCATCCCATACGTCTCCTATGTACATGAAGACTAGCTAGTCAACCCCACTTCTCCCCTATAAATTGCATTGTCAAGTTTCAAGTAACACGTGTATCTCTTCTTGAGAGTTCTCCTCAGTTCTTGCTGTTATTAAGTTGACACTGTTTGCTTTCTAAATTTACTTTGTATGTACGTGAAGTGATCTAAAAACAACATTATGGGCAGTTTTCCAGAGCAACAGCACCCCAAAGAAGCTTTTGGATGGGCAGCTAGAGACAGTTCCGGCTACCTTACCCCCTTCAAATTCTCTAGAAGGTTTTCAATTCTAATATCTTCTTTCAAGGGTTCTTCACAATTTCTTTGTTCTTCTTAATAAAGAAAAGAGAATTAATTTTATTATGCATTTAGAGTAAATCTCATGTTAACGTCTGTTAAATTAAAGATAATCTAGGCACATAAATATAAAAAAAAAATTTATTTATTGTCAATTGATTTTACATTAGGTATATATTTTAAAAACTTAATGACACCAACCTTAAAAAGCATTTAGGATTAATCTCTCTCAATTTAATATAATTTGATATTAATGTTTTAATTTCCACATCGAAATGGATTGCTAATTTGCAGGGCAACAGGAGAAAAGGATGTAGCTTTCAAGGTGCTTTATTGTGGGATATGTCATTCAGATCTTCATACGCTCAAGAACGAATGGAGCAATTCCATCTACCCTCTTGTCCCTGGGTAAGTAAATATATGAACATAAATATAAATATATCACTTTATTTGATAAAAAGGAAAAGAAAATGGACCAATTTGAAATGATGAGGAATTATAAGTGTCATAATCTATAAATTTATAGTTATATTTAATAAGAAGAGTCATCACTAATGTTTTTTATATAAATATAATTGATCTTGTCCCATTTTAAAAAAATATTTTAATTTTAACTTAAATATTTTTAAAAAGTAAATTCATATGTACGAAATCAAAACTATATTTGAAAGTATGGTTATATGTGAAAAAAATTATAACACTTTCATATTGTTCACCTAAAAGATAATATTAATTTGATTTCGTGTTATCTAAAAGCTTAAAAAAAACTTACCAAATAATTTAATGTAAGAAATTATCCCTAAATTATTCTATTATGTTGATAATAATTATCCTTCAATATGTTAATAAGATTGTTTGCTATAAATTATTTTTCAGTATTTTGATAAGATTTTATGAAAATTATTTCTTTTCTAAAAATTAATTTTTATTTAAAAATCATAAGGTTTTTCAATATGTTGATAAAAACTTTTTTTATAAAAATTAAATTGTCTTGTAAGGCTTCATTGAAAACTATTTTTCTTTTAAAATTTGTTTTTTTATAAAAAATTAATAAGATTCTCTAATATATTGATAAAATCTTATCTTAAAAATTAAATTATCTGTTAATATGTTAGTAAAGCTTCATTAAAAACTATTTTTCTCTTAAAATTTGTTTTTTATAAAAAATTAATAAGGTTCTCCAATATATTAATATAATTTTATTTTGAAAATCAAATTACCTTTTAATATATTGATAAGATTGTTTATTTTATTGATAAGATTTTTTATTTTATTAAATAATTTATTAAAAATTTGAATATTCTAATATATTAATAAGATTTTTTTATTTAAACATTTAATTTTTAGAAGATTTGAACCCTCTAATATGTTTGTAAGATTCATTTTTATTTAAAAAAATATTTTTTTAAAAAATATTTACAATTAAATAATAAATAATATATAACAAATAAATAAAATAATGAAAACATAAATAAAAAAACAAATAAATAGATAAATAAATAATAATAATAATAATAATAATAATAATAATACTAGAAAAATGGTTCGGCTTGGAGGCTCGCGAGGTACGACTTGAAAACACTGTCAAATTCATAATTTCAAATCTCCCACAATTTCTATCGAGAACTTTGCTCTTGTGTCCTCTCTGTTTTCTGGTGCGTATAATCTTTGTCCATTCATGTTCTTTTGCTTGTTGATTCTCTGTTTTTTTTATAGATGGAAATCCCAACTTAATCAGTATTTCAATTAAAGCTGAATTCTTCAAAAACTTATCACCAAATGAGAATTGAGTTTTATATTCAATGAAATCCTTTGTTATTCACAACTCCATCAATTTCAATCAAACCTCCGCCGCTCTCTATTTCCTTCCTTTTTTTAATTTAACAAAAACCAAACCAAATCCTATAAAATCAACTTCAAATAAAACGAGATGTCTACAATAAATATCATTCCTTTAAACTTTTTTTTTGGTTTGATAGAGTAGCTAGAAAGTATTTTCATTTATTTCACACTTTTATTAAGTTCAATTCAACCTTTAGGCCGTAGGAGGGGGAGAAAAATACTTAATTATTACTGCTAAATTCCATTTATCATATTTACCTTCCATTATTTTTATTTTTCTTTTTTCACATAAAGGAAGGCTTAAGCTTGGAGGATAGGGCAAGGAAAATCTCAGTCTCAGCTTCGAAGGGTCCCAAATTTATGATCTCTTCATGCCTTGATGTCTACTATTCGAGAAAGCTTTCAAGAGCTTTTACTGAGTTAATTAGCCAAGCAAAATATACCATTGATTTCCTTCGCAAATTTTACCTTTAAAAGTACTTTAAAATACTAATAATAAAGAATTAAAAACTATAACAATATTTAAAGACAACATGTAAAATCTTTGACAGTGTTGCAAATTGGCAGAAAAGTTTGATTTCATACTGAGAAAATGAAATATGAACACCCAATGTGTGGATGGAATTTGCTGTGTGGTTAGAAATGGAATACGCAATGTGTGGACCGAAGCTGCTTCTGTTTCTTGGACACCAGGGTGCCCAGTGTTTCAACTTTGAAGCAGGGATGGGCTGGATGTTCCAACTAATTATTGATGAAAGCTATTCCTGGTTTTTTAGGTCAAAATTCAAATACTAATTAAGTTACTCTGATATGTGACAAGAAAGATTCCTCTCAACCTTACATCCAACAAAAACAAATCACTTCAATCAAAGGAGAAAAAAAAAATTGCATTTATAGTAGATAAAATAAGCATAATTCCCAAGTGAATAGATTAGATTTGAATTTTTTATTTATTATAGATAATATATATGTAAATCCAAAACTTATAATCCAAATTGCATCTAAAAAGAAAATACAGTGGCATGTATAAATGGTGAAATAATAAGTTTCTGGATGCAGGCATGAGATAGTTGGTGAAGTGACAGAGGTGGGAAGCAAGGTAGAAAAGTTCAAAGTAGGTGACAGAGTGGGAGTTGGATGCCTGGTTGGATCATGCCGCTCCTGTGACAACTGCGTCAACAATCTGGAAAACTACTGCCCACAAATGATATTCACCTATGCAGCAAAGTACTACGATGGAAGCATTACATATGGAGGTTACTCCAATACCATGGTTGCTGATGAGCACTTCATTATCCGAATTCCCGATGATCTACCACTTGAAGCTGCCGCTCCCCTTCTCTGTGCTGGGATCACAGTTTATAGTCCATTGAAATATTTTGGACTTGATCAGCCTGGTTTGCATGTTGGCGTGGTTGGCCTTGGTGGGCTTGGTCATTTGGCAGTGAAATTTGCCAAGGCTATGGGAGCCAAGGTGACAGTAATCAGTACCTCTCCTAACAAAAAGAAGGAAGCTATTGAAAATCTTGGTGCTGATTCATTTTTAATTAGCAGCGATCAGGATCAGATGCAGGTTTGGTTCTGAATTTCATCTTTTTTTTTTTTTTTGTCTTGATATGAGGATTCTTGGGTGTAATGGTTAAATTCTAATGGCACTATGTTGATATATTATTAGGCTGCCATGGGTACAATGGCTGGTATCATTGATACAGCATCTGCTCCACATTCTTTGCTGCCATTGATTGGTTTATTGAAGTCTCATTCCAAGCTTATTCTGATTGGTGTTCCAGACAAGCCACTTGAGCTACCAGTCTTCCCTTTGATCGTAGGTAGGCATATGAAATTACCGATAGATTCATTACATTTTTGAAATTTTTGCTTCATTGTTCAATATGTGAGTATAAAATTATCATTTGATCGATAATCAAGAAGCCAATTAATGATCGTTGCAAATGACAGGGAGGAAGGCAGTAACAGCAAGCTTCTCCGGAGGGTTGCAGGAGACTCAGGAGATGATTAATTTTGCAGCCAAACATGATTTGAAACCAGACATTGAAGTTATACCTATAGACTATGTGAACACTGCCATGGAACGCCTTGCCAAAGCAGATGTCAAATACCGATTTGTCATCGACATTGGGAACACATTGAAGGCCACCTCTTAACTTTGTGGTGCCAGAACCAGGTCAAGTTGACATATATCTTGGCATAGATTCTTATCCTTTGTAATTTAATTCCTGGTTTTTATCAACTTTGGATGATGGTGTAAAAGCTTTTATGGCAGATTACTGTCAAGCTAGCATGAAAAAAAATAGTTGTTTTATATAGAGATGTGGGGTATTTTAGATAAAATATTGTAATTAAACCATGAATTTATGGATCTTGCATGTATTTGACTCAAAGTAATTAACAAAGCATGATCCTTATAATTTACGATTTTATATTTGATGTATTGTTAGTATATATACACTATCAATCAATCAAATAATATCATATTATTAATGAATAAATATTAATCTTCAAAATAAATATACAAAAATTTAATTTTTTTTAAAAATTTATTCATTAATGAAGCAAAATCTTTTGATTCACTTCATTAATTAGATAATATCATTGGATTCATTGATAATATATAAAATTTATATATTGATAATACATCAAATATAAATCACAATTTTGTAGGTATTACCATGATATTGATCAATGCTATTAATTGCAAAGATTATTACAAATAATACATAACTATCTAAAATACATATAGAAAAATTATAATATGCTACAATGAAATATAATTTTCATGGAAGATTTGAAAACATAGTAATAATTGAATGCATGCATGTATGATCATTTATTAATATTTATTAAAATGCTTCAAAAATAATTGAGGTAATAAATAATAATTCCATATTTATATTAATGAAATCTAATAATAACAAATTAATTTTCAAATTAAATTTAAAATGTTAAATTATTAATTTTATCTTTTACCTTACATTTCATTTTATTAAAATGTTATTATATAAATTAAATTATGTAAAAAATATAAATATTTTTAAAATTAAAATACGCTTAAATAAAAAGATTTTTCGTAGCCAAACGCTGGCAAAATTTTTTGCTATTTCATGAAATGAATGATTCCTTTGTTTTGAAAGAAAAAAAAATTACATATGTATCATGACAAGATAAAATTAATATTCAAAATGGGAATTTACACTTAAATAAAAACTAAACAGTGGCATAAAAATACTTATTTCAAGGTCAAGGTTCACATCTGGCTTGGGAAAGATAATTAAATATACATACGGAACAGTTTTCTTATTATTTGACCTATGTTTTGACCAAAAAAAAAAAGACCTTTTTATTTTATTCTAACAAGATTTAGATTGATTGGCAAGAAAGAAGACCAAACTTTGGTGTAGTGGTGACGGAGTTAGGATTTTTTTTTAGCGCATTTGTTTGTAATATATATTTATATATAAATATTAATAAATTTATTAATTTTACTAACGAAAAATATCCAAATAAAAATTCTCATTAAATTTTTTTTTTTTAATTTTTGGATACCCATACTCTATATGTGGATCTGCTAGGTTGATGTGAATTTTTTAAGAAAAAAAAAATTATGTATTTTTAATGAGTGTATATAATATTTTAATTAATTAATTAATTAATTTAATTAACCAAAATAAGTGAGACATAAATTTTTAAAACAAACTATATACTCAAACAAAATTTATTGTATGCTTTATTTATTTGAAAAGTATTACAGGAACATTCCGTACTTTTTTTCTAGTTGCATACTGTCGCTTCTTATCAAGTAAAGAAGAATAATCCAAAACTATTACTAGAACATAAGAATACTGGAACTTTTTTTGCCGAATTGTCGTGTAATAATAGGGGGCAAACTTTAAGATGTGGCCTTCAACGTGTTCCCAATGTCAATCACAAATCGATATTTGACATCTGCTTTGAGAAGGCGTTCCATGGCGGTGTTCACATAATCCACAGGAATAACTTCAATGTCTGGTTTTATGTTATGTTTAGCTGCGAAATCAATCATCTCTTGAGTCTCCTTCATCCCTCCAATCATGCTTCCTCCTATTACCTTCCTCCCTGAAAGTTTTGATATATTTTTTTAATATATAAAAAAGAAAGAATTGAGTGATCTAGTATCACTTCTTTGAAAACATTGGAATAAAGATTCTTTACCTTGGAGCAAAAGAAAGCTGGTACTCAAATGGTTCTCTTGGAGCACCAACAAGAGAACAAAGCTTCCCGTTGGTCTTCAACAGGCCAATCAAAGGCAGCAGAGGGTGTTGAGCGGATACTGTATCTATGATTCCATCCAATGTGCCAATGGCAGCCTAAACACAACAAACATATATGATGTATTGAATTTGGAAAACTGCTATACCTACACTCACAATAATTAATCTCTTATTGATAAATTATTGAAAGAAAAAAAAACGTTTTCAAAACTAAACCTGAAGCTGCTCTTGATCTCGGCTGACCAAAAATGAATCAGCACCAAGATTTTCCAAAGCTTCCTTCTTCTTGTTCGGAGAGGTGCTTATGACTGTCCACTGTTGTCCCCCACTAGCCTTTGGCAAATTCACAAGCAATTTATGGCCTAGCCCACCGAGTCCAACATACACCAACATGCAACCATGCTTATCAAGGTCCATAAAATCTCGAATGGACTATGAAACTGTGATTCCAGCGCAAAGAAGAGGAGCGGCCAGGCATAACAAACAGGCAGTGTTGTCCAGGAATGCGGACGATGACAGTGCTCAATCAGCAACCATAAGAGTCAGAGTAACCGTCCAATATGTAATTAAGTTCCATCATAGTACTTGCCGGCATTAGTTAAGTATCATTTTTTCGGACAGTAATTCTCAAGATTGCTGATGCAGCTTATCGCAGGGAATGGCATGATCCAACCATGCATCCCACCCCAACTCTGTCTCCAACTTTGAACTTTTGTACCTTACTTCCCACCTCTGTCACTTCACCAACAATCTCATGCCTGCAACCAATACGAATGGTTCAAATCAAATCTATAACTATTCAGGTTCATCAATATATTTGTTTATAGTAACCAACAGCATAAAATAGATAGATGAACTAATGGAGAAATACCCAGGGACAAGAGGGTAGACAGAAGTGCCCCATTCATTCTTCACCATATGAAGATCAGAATGGCATATCCCACAAAAAAGCACCTTGAAAGCCACGTCCTTTTCTCCTGTTGCCCTGCAAAACCACATCATATTTATCAAACAACAAGCAACAAAGACCCATGGAAGAAGATCAAGCATGCACATATTCAAATTAAGATATAGAATAACAGTGAAAAGTGAAAACCTTCTGGAAAATTTGAAGGGGAAGAGAACACCGGAAGTGTCTGTGGCTGCCCATCCAAAAGCCTTGTTGGGGTGCTCTTGTTCAGGCAATCTCGTCATTGTTGTATGTATAACTGTTTGAAGGCAAAGCAAATGGTGATTAAAAATGATACATGAAGTGGCAAGTTTTTGAGTTTGCTTAATTATTTATAGCGGGGATTTGAGGGCTATGCTGACGTATAGGGTGAGCTAAATAAAGCTAGCCAATATAAAACAGGAAACTGTTTGTCAATGAAAGTGGATTCGATGATTCGACTTTCTCAGCTTACCTTTCGTTTTCAATTTCCCCTCAAATTCCTTCTTTTTTTTTTTTAATTCCAAAAGCAAAATTTTCAATTTTCACCGATAGGTTGACTCTCTTGTTAATTGTTATGATTAGGAAGGAGCAAAGCTAACACCAAATTTTCTAAGTGAAATTTGTGAAAATTTTATTAAATGATTTAATAAAAATTTTAATAAAAAATTTAAATCAATAAATTAATAAATTTAATATGAAAATCAATAATATATAAAAAAATAATTAAAAATAGTATTTATAATTCAACTTTGATTAATACTTATCTAAATGGTAAAAATTGTCAATATTTTTACTAAAATTATTTTTCTAAAAATATATATCAAAATTTTATTTTAAATTTTATACACCTAATTTATATAATAAGATATTTTAATTTATTGATTTTAATTTTTAATTTTTTATTTTATTTAATTATTTCTAATAAAAATTTTACAAATTTTATTTTAAAATTTTCATTTAAATTAAATTAAATTCAAACACCGTCGTATTAATTAGCAGTAATTATCTCTTTTCCTTAAAATTATTGTTATAAAATGTTTCACTTTCCATATACATGGAGTATCTATATTTTGTTCTTTTTTGTGTACATATATAAAAATATTCATGGTTTTTATTATTTTAAATATTTTATTAAATTAAAATTTTTAAATATATATATATATTTAAAGTCTCTTTATTATAGGATTTTGAAAATTGATTTTTTATTTTAATCAATAAAATAATGTTTAAATTAAAAATTGATAATTAAATTTAAAAGTTAAATTAAGATAATATTTATGATAGAAAAATAGTTATATCTCATTAATCTTTCGAATACGGAACAAATAAAATTATTATAATCAGACTATGATGAGTTCACATCATACGTTATAACAGCTCATCAAACACGTCATCATAATTCATTAGCCCAATAACATCTCAATTACGAAAGGATTACACCTTTCTCTTTCATTTTATTTTTACTTGAAAATTAATTTTAAATACAAGCGGCATATAAAAATATATTCATATATTAATAATTTTATATATATATAAATTTTTTAAATGATATTATAAGTTATAAATTTTATGAACAATTCATAACTTATATAATTATTTTTATTTAAATTTATATATTTTAATAAAATAAAATTAATTAATTACATATTAAATGTATTTATACAATTATCATCAATTTTTAAAAAAAAACTCAAATTATAATTTATTAAATCTAAATAATCTCTAGACAAAAGACAATAATGTTTTCAATTTCAAAAAATTAAAATTTTCATTCTAAAAATCAATCTCGCATATAAATTTTTTCGTGAGAAATTTTTTCATAAGTTTTTATTGAAGTAAAGATACAATAATTGATTCTCCAACATTTTTTACTATCTTGAAGTAGGTATCATTTTACTTGATGAGCTAATAGATTTCACATATGAAAGTGAAAAGATAGATAAAACAGTAATTGGTAATTTAATAACAATTGAATTATAATATAGACTATATAATTTTATAACAAACATAATTATTACAATAAACTTATACATACTTCTTCCAATAATTTTTTATATTTAAGCTTAGAATCAAAATTATACATCTTATTCACTATAATTTGATATTACTTGTCTCGAGATTATACTTAGTTGCCCTCATCTCAGATACACAAATTTTACCTCTGAAATCTTCGAATATCTCTTGGATTTTAT